CACATCCAGTAAGGGATGGAGATTCTCCTTGCCTCTCTTTTTGTTGTTAATATATTTGTAAAAGCCTTTTTTGTTATCCTTTATGACTATGGCCAGCTTGAGGTCTAGCTGGGCTTTTGCCTTTCTAATTTTGTCTCTGCTTGACCTAACAAGATCCTTGTACTCTTCGTGAGTTGCCTGCCCCTTCTTCCAGAGCTGATAAACTCTCCTCTTTTCCCTGAGTCCCAGCAAAAGCTCCCTGTTCAGCCAGGCCTGTCATCTTCTCTGCCAGCTCATCCTGTGGCACATGGGGACCGCCTGCTCCTGTACCTTTAAGATCTCCTTCTTGAAGACTGTCCAGCCTTCCCGGACCCTTTTGCCCTTCAGGACGGTCTCCCAAGGGACTCTCTCAACCAATGAGCTGAACAGGCTAAAGTCTGCCCTCAAAGAAAGACACATGGGAGGAGTGGGGCAGGGCAATGTGTGTCTAAGCATACATATACTCACACACAGGAAGCGGGAAGGAAGGAGCAATTAATTAATTTATTTAAAATAGCCACAGTTCTGCTTTCTGGGTGGAAGCCAGTGTAGATTAGTACTTCAGGGCCTGCCTTGTATGAATTGTTATGGCATGCAAGTGGTACAATTCTTCACATCCCCGTTTAATAATTGTTAAACAGGAAAACATCTTTTAAATTGCAGACAAGGGGGGGAGGGTTTCAGGATATTTGGATATGATGGGTTTAAATCAGAATTTGTCTAAACAAAGGGCTTTACTTTGAAGATGCGTGGCTCCCTGTAACTCTTTTGTTATTAAGTGACAAGCAGTAACTAGCTCCCAAAGTACACGATCAGACTTTATTTTACTGCAATATGCCACCATTACAAGAGATCAGGAAGGGACACCTCTCCAAAGACCACACACAGCATTGTAGATACATGTCCAGTTACACTATTGCAAGAAACTATGCTGTATGAATATACATGTTTTTACCTTCCTGCAGACTCTGTTATAAGAGAACACACTCAGCCTTCACTGTTTCCTTACTGTTATTTCCAGTATCTGCTGAGCTTTCAGAGACACTGCACTTTAGTGCCTCAATTTTCTTTCTCACATCAGGCTTTATTTTTAGTAATTTTGAAATCAAGCAAGTAAAGTTGGAAAAAAGGAGAAGAAATACCAAGTAGCACACTGAGACACTGATGTAGTTTGTGACGGCCCAAGCAACAAAATAAGAAATCAGTAAAATATGGGCTCTTCTACCTGCTTTCTGACACATGAAGAGCATTTTCCTTATCTCCTTGGGAAGTTTCAGGTTCAGATTGCTGCTTCCTTCTTCCTATCCTGGGACGTTTTAAATGACTGCTTTGTGTCAATACAGAAGTGGAAGCTACGTTAGGGTCTTAGGAAAAAAAAACAAACACAAAGAAAAAAATAAATGCAAGTGAACAAATGCAGTCTAAGATCTGCATATAATTTCCCCCCCCCAATATCTCATTAAAGAAATTGAGTGCAAGTAAAACAGCATTTCATCGTGGTACTCTTTTTTTCTTAATACACATGCATAATATCTTTATCAAGTCTCGTAACCATTTTATCTGAAGTCCTCTAAAAGGTTTACAAGTTGAGCCTCAGCACCTTAGAGGAAGGCATGTTTTTATACACTTTGCAGATGAATACACTAAGATTGAAAGCAGTAAAAGAGGCTGATAACCTATTAATCCACAGTAATCACAACACTGATAATCAAAGTTATTTTTACCTTTAGATGTGCTTGCACAGACATCTGTTGATTCTTTACCTTTCTGAGAGTCAGCCTGTGAAGCAAAAGCAAAGCTAATGTTATCCTAAAAACTTCTTAGTTGACTGAAATACTTTCATCTCCCTAATCTGTGGTTGCATCTTTCTAAAGCACTACTTCATAGTAATGATCCTATGGAAGAACAGCTACAACCACTCTTAATTTAAGACACTTACATATATGTATCTTATCTCTCAACAGTTTTTTTTTTTTGCTTTAATTATCTTTATTATAAGGATGAATATTTTTTCTGCATTTTACTCCTTGCCTCAACATAGATTAAATCTTGAAAGTAACCTGTCATTATAAACAACAAGTTTTTTTTCCTAACCATTCCGTTTTTAACAAGGTGTCCACGTAATTAAATGCTAGAAGTCTTTTTTTTTTGTTTCCCCATTTCATATAAATCCAAGGGACTACACTACAGTAGCTGACAAAATTTAAGAGGAAAGTTTTATTTTTATATTTGTATTCTATTTTGTAGTCTTGTTTTTATCTGGCATGCAACAGAGTATGGCAGCCCACGTAAAAAAGGGGATCAGACAAGAAAAGCAGAACTTAGTGATTCAGCAGTCAAGCAGGTTACACGCACAGTCAGCACAAGAGGCTGCTTATGTGAAGAGTTCCCTCTTCTTAGAGCTCTTCTGCCTCTTGTTTTTCCCCACCATCCCAATACTTCCATTTTTTTTGCAAGTTGGCTGAGGACTCAGCAGTCAAGCACTTGATACTCTGAAGTGTACAAGTTGTACACATTAAAATACAAGTTATGCACATTGCTCTTTCTCAGCTGCTGGACATAGTTCCAGAACTGGCAATAACCACGATCCAGGTGTTCTGCTGCCTTTCCAGCCTCACTTCCAGTATTACTATGGAGTGGCTATATCTACATTCTGCTGCTTGAAACAGTTCCAAGTGAGTTTTAAGTACATAAGAATTTGTAGACTAATGACAGATTATTCTAGCATCAAAACACACAAAATAGGAAGCACTAAGTGAAAGGTGAAAATGAAAGCTGGGGAATGTTTTTTCCTCATTTGGGGAAAGGTGGGGTATTTTATTTTGTTTGATGGTCCAACAGTTTTCAAAAGCATTGAATTCTGTGAGAGCACGGTCATGTCAATACTACAGTCAGTCCTGAAGCACACAAATCCATTCTTACTGTACTTGGAGCTACAAGTTATTCTCAAGCACATTCTGCGTGGCCTCAGAACACAAACAGATAGAGGAACAGCTTCACAATATTCAAAGACACAAATATATTCATGACCACATCTCCATATGCAGCTGAAATCTGGTTGATATTTCAAATACGTACAAAGAAAGCTGCAGTCCTTCTGTATGGACAATTTATAACTCTGAATGTAAATTAAACACTTTCCATTGTATTGAACTGTGATGTGAATGTCTACTTCCATAACCACTTTTCCTCATTCTCTCCACTCTTACAATGACTCTACTGTACAACAGCCTTTCTAGACAGTTTAATCTCAGAACCAGCTGAAATACTCGCCCTTCTCTAATCTGCTGGCAAACAGCTCAAACTATAGACCTGACAGCTGTGGCACAGACGCTCTACATTCATGGGGACACCCCACACCCCCACAAAAAAAGTAATATTTTTAACCACAGCTGAGTCATCGGTATTACAGAGGGAAGCATAACATCCACTCAAAAAGTAACAAAAGCATTTGTCTTTCATACATTGTGTGGACTTTAGCCAATTCAATCATAATGAGATGGACAAAGAGCATTTCTCATACTTTGTTTTTTAGTAAAAAAGCAATCAAAAAAAGAGGTAACAATCTGTGTACATACACTTACCTGTGTTTCTAGCTCACTCTTCTGTCCACTTGCTCCAGATACTGCCGCAGATTGCTGAAAATGACCTTGGGAATAACAAGTTTCTTTCTGCGAGGTCTCTGCTTGTAACATTTAAAAGAGGAAACAGGGAAATGGAAAATTATAGTACCTTTCTATAGCAATTAACCATTCCAAATATGATCTCGCAGATCTCAGGACAAAAAAAAAATCTTACTCCTAGTTTCCATGGGCAGTGTTCACAGAAGTCACTGTGGTACTTGCAGAATGCTTGTTCAATTTTTATAAAGTGTGAGAAAACAACAAAACAAAGCACCCATACCTTCAACTTTGCGCTTTTTCCTTTGGATTATAGACATAATAGATGTTCTCTGGAACCAACGTCCTGGTCCCTCCACCTCCCACAAAACACTGTGATGCTCAGGGTGCTTCTCCATATATTGCTTACAAGCTAAATAAACATAAGAAAAACCACTATATTAAAGATAGTATATACTCAGCTGTACCTCAGTTTTTAAATTTTATCTGAAATCAAATTAATTTGCAATTTTCCATCAGACACATAAACCACCACAGAAAGAGCTGTTCAATAAAACAGTTGAGCCTGAAATAAACGTCATGTTGCTTTACCCTACTCATCCTTCTCAATAAATCCTTTCGTCAGATTTAAACACTTTCCATTATGATCTTAAACTGCAAAGGAAGATGGACGGGATTTTCTTCTTCTCTAAGCCCCGACTTGAGAGTTTTACAACTTCACTGGTCACTGTCCCTGCCAATCAGAAGACCCAACCCAGGATGGAGGGTCTCTTCGGCAGAGGATATAATCAAGTGATTTTTGTCACCCCACGTTACTATATGCACTCACAAAAAACACTCTTTGAGAATGCAAACACATTATCATTGCATGGCTTATGATCCACTCACTGTTCACTTCTGGAATATTTTCTTCTCCACTGTCCCTCCACCTCTTTTCTCCCCATACATGTACTAAGCATCCATGTGGAGAGGCATGTTTTAACATTATTCTGTAGTAGCTACCAGGAAAACTACCATTTTTCACCTGATTCACTATCAATGCATAATCTCAGTGGACAAGATCCCTGCCATACTATTCCTTGACTAAGGAAATGGATTAGTCATTAAATTCTGCTCAAGACAGTTTGCTGGTTGCAGCCTAACAAGCCAGCTCTAGTCAGATCCAACAACCAACAGTTGTACTTGAAAAAGCAGAAAATTTCCAGTGGCTAAGGTGGCCAGATGAAAATGCTCATAGAAGGAAGCCTGGCAGAGGGCCTAAGAGTAGGACAAGCCTTGAGAAGCAGAGCAAAGGAAATGTGCTTCTTACCTGAACACAGTTCCAAGCAAAATAGTTTCCAGACTGTGTGTCATTTCCTAGGTAACATAACCCTCTTGGGTTGATAATGCAAGGGCCTTTAAAGTGTAAAGAGTGAAAACACTTAAAGAGAAGTGTTTTCCTTTGTACGTTAGAACTGCATGGCCTTACACCCAAGTTGAAACATAGCCTAGTAAGTCCATTTGACCAGAAGTTCTCAGAAAGCAAGAATTAAATGACCTTGTAAGGTCCTTAGGTGGTGACCTTAGGTATGAGCAAGAAAAAGGTGCTGTGAAGAAGATATACATTAGATCACACACAGAAAAATCTCAACCCATTCTGGAGGCTTAGGAGACACAGTAGTAAACCTCACAGTAGCAAAAAGCCAATGGAGATCCAATACTCTAATCTCATGTAGAAGATTAAAAAAATCTAACCAGGAACTACTTCATCACCTTAAACAAATCAGGATTTTTAGCCTTCACTGAAGAGCAGAACATTTAATAGAGAAACTGAGGATGTGGCCACAAATGTGGAGCTTGAATGACAGCACTCATGTGGATATGTAAAGAAATCATAAAGACCTGAAGAATAAATTAAAGAGCTTGCCTGTGTACATGAAGGATGACACTGGGTATCTTAGGCCAAGACATTTTTCAGCAAAGGAATCCACAAAGTCTTCCAAGATGATAAGCCCAGAGTCCTTCCCACGATGCTTCTTTCTTACAAAGACTGTGTCGAGCACTGGCAGCTTATAAGTCTGACCATGGTAAGAGTGACAAACACTTCCTGGAACAGTAAGACGTGAAAAAATATCCATCAGTACTTCAGCACTGACATGTTGCAGCGCAGATTTTAGTATATTCAAATAAAGACTTTTATAATTTATAAAAATTATCCCAAATGATATAATTGTCAGTCACATAAAATTATGGTAAAAATTATAAAAATAATTTAGAATGTTCACTAAAAACAACTAATTTCTATCAGCCATTTATTGCCTCTTTGGGTAAGCTTCATAACATTGCCAAGATATATCAATAAATTAGTATGCTTAGAAAGTCTGTAGTACCAGCAGAGCTAGAGAGGAGAGGCTCACTTTGAAATCTCACTATACAATTTCATAGAAAAACTATACTAAAAATGAAGCTGAAACAGGGAGGCGGGAAAAGGAGACAATAAAATTCATGAATTGCACTTTTATGTAGATTACATCACTCCTCAGGACAAATATGAAGACTATAATTCAGCTCCTATTTAAAGACTGAAACAATAAGTCCAATTTTTTTAAATGAAACCACAAAAAATCCTATGATACTTTACATTGTTTAATTTTGATAATGTGTTGTTTATGGGAGAATTCCAAAGACAAATTAATTAACAAAGATCCAAATTAAACACTGTCACAACACATAGGTAATTCAGTATCAGAGGATTCAAAGGGTAGCTATGGACTCAGTGGTGACAAAGGGATGCCATACAATGGCATTTAGATAGCCCAGCAACTATTCAATCCATTTTCAGGCCCTCATTTTGTGAGTTGGTGTGAACTATGTCAAAAAGTTGCCCTTTCCTCTAACAAGGCCAAAGAGAAGCATACGGTTGTCCATACAACATAGTCAGTCTTTGCAACCTTGTAGTTTCGAGACCAATGAACATACTTATCATCATTTTTCAAGTAAGGAAAACAAGGGCCGAGAGGTTACATTACTTGAGTACCCTTTGGGATATCAGCCAAGCTCCACCACTCT